CCATCCAGCAATGGTTGTAAGAGATAGGTTTGGGGCATCCTCTGATTGGCGGTACCAACTTTATCAGTTCTTTCTTTCTGTCATATAAATGGGTCTATACCTAGTATCTGTTTTCTGTTCCATTGACGCCTTTTCACGACCCATTTCAATGGCTAAATGTGAGAGTTCTCACGAATCTTTCTGACTGCCTGACTGATGGGACCCTTCATGCTGTATGGTAACTGTGAGCTCCCTTGGCCAATTCCGCTTCATTCCAAGTTTGGTGAAGGCAGCAACTTGTCTGACTTGCTCCCTGAATCTGCCAAGGACAGAGTTAAAAAGAAACCACCACAGACATCTCAGGAAGGAAGGGATCTGAGGCCAGGAACTAAGTACTGACAAACCTGTTTCAGGTCTGGAAGGGCAAAAAGCCAGGGCTAGGACAACAGTGAGGAATCAGGAGAGGGCAGGTAGCCCTCGCAAGGCCAGGTCTGCCCTGAGAGCTCAGAACTGGCCACCAACAGAGCAGACAGAGTCCAAAACAGCTCAAAACACGTCTCCCACCAGCCTGCACTCCACTGCCAGCCCCACTGCCACAGAGAGCTGCCCATGACTCACCCCCAGAAGCCTAGAGCAGTACTTGGCTTGAATGTGACAAAGTACCAAGGCCAGAAGTAGGTGCCCAAGGTGTTCTCAGTGTTTGGTTTTTAGAAGAGATGAAAGGGTTCATCCCTGGTGACCCAGAGCTGAGATGGGAGGTGAGAATGTGCTATCCACAGCCTGGGCCCCTACCCACTTCCCTCTGGAGAGTCTATCAGTTGGAAGGAACAGCTGTCCCCTGCCCTCTCCCCAGTACCCAGCAGGGTTGGGAGTCACCACATAGATGATGTGGGTGGTGGCCCAAAAGATGCCATTGTATCCAGTTATGTCAGGATGTCTTACCTGTCAGAACACCGTGGTTTCTCTGGAAGAGAGTTATTGAGGACGAGATAAGATAAGGATAAGGAGTGAGAGGCAGCTGTGATGCGGAGCAGAGCGAGAGGCAACCAGGATAAGTAGTGAGAGGCCACTGTCTCTGTCTCCGTGGTTCACTCAGGTTCTCTGAGTCCCAGAACCTTATTGGTTAAGCCTCATGAAAGTCTTCGTGAGGCACAATGGGCCTTGGAACCTTGGAACCACAGAAGTTGGTGGGATCTACATACTGGCCTCCCCTGCCCCTGAGCTCTTCCTGGTTCAGTGATGACTAGGTGCGTGGAAGGGGCCATGAAAGCAGGCAGACACTATCTGGATATGGGAACATCTGCATTAGCTATTCCCTTGGTAGAACCTGTGTTTCCTCATCCTCAGAACTTTTCCCTGGCTTGTGCCAAATCTTCCCAACAGACCTTCTGAGAACAGGTCTGTGTCCAAAATCTTCCCAACAGACCTGTGTGCCTCACCACATCCATGACATCTCAACAGGGCCCCTGGGCAATGCTCAGTTGTTCAGTCTTCTGTTTCAATCAGGAGCTTAGTTCCTGGTGGAATGCCACAGTTGTCAACCTCTGGAACAGACTTGGTCATGATTGTGCAGTCACTGCTTTTATAAGACTCCATTCACATCAGTGGGTGTTTAGATGGAGAAACATTGGGTGTTGAGATGAAGAGTCACCCTTCTGAAGCCAAGGTACCTTCCAGGTCTCTGGTGTAGAACAAGTGTACTGTTAGCATTAAGGAATGACACAGGTGGACATCTTCTAGAGGTAGGATGTGGATTCCTGTAGGCTGTCACAGGGCCAAGGGTGAGGACCAGGCTGTGAGCTAAAATGACTCTTCTGGGAATAGGCAGCTTGTCCCCACACAGGTGGCCTCCTCTGTTTCATGCATCACCAAGGGAACTGATGCTTATAAGAGGGACCCAGGTCACACGTTTCTTTCCTTGACTGGCAGGGAAGGCTTCATGGTCCAGGTTTCCTTGTAGTGCACAAAGAAACCCATAAGCCCCCTCTGATAGCTGAGATGGGTGCTTACAACTAATTGGAGAAGAACAACAATTTGGTGTGGGGTATTTGGTTAACAAAGGAAGTGGCAGATTGTCTTTCTCTTTTCAAGGAATCACCTTGCTAGAAAACCAAGGTCATGGCCCAGAAAGTGGGCCAGAGGAGCTTGTCTGATATCACTGAAATGCATTGAAAATGCATAACCTTCTAATAATTACACAATAGAAGAGAAACAAAAATCCTCTGGGCCTTCGGTCAAAAAACGTAATGAAGCATCTATGAATACAATAAGGAAAATACACATGTGACTTTTAAGAGCTTCCTGTTTGGGCACTAAAAGAATAATTAATTTAATTATATAAATGCATTTTTATTGGTTTAGATATACATGACAATAGAGTGCATCTTGAAATATTATTAAGTAGGATCCCAATCTTGTGGATGAACATGATGTGGAGTTACATTGATTGCATACTCATATTAAAATAATATTTTAAATTATCCTTTTGTTCTGTAAAGGAAGACTAATTCTTGAAATGGTGCCCACTCAAAGCAATCACATACTTCAAGATGCTTTTTATTTCCCCAAAAAATATTGTACATCTTTTCTGGGGCACATTATGTAGCCTCAAAGTCAAAGAACTTTTCCAGAGAACTGACATAGCGTTCAGACTAGGTCACTACTGCAGTAGCTTAAAATAATCATTGTACTTTACAAAGTTAGGAGTCTGAGAATAGGAGACAGCTGGGGAGGAATTTGACTCAATGTGAGATAAATCTCTTTGCATAAAAACTGCTTAAAGGGGGGCTGGGGATGTGGCCCAAG